CCCCGAAAGAGAGCCCCTCTTCCTTCCTGCTCTTTCTCCTGCGCCTTTCCCTCTCTTTCTCTCACTCCTTCCTTGCATCGGTGGCCGCCCCATGAGTCAGCTTGTCCCCATGGCTACAGGATTCTCCCTCCCAGGACACCACCAAGTTCCTTCTCCCCGTCGCCGGTCCTTCCTGCATCGGGATGTCGCTTTCCACGGTCCCCTTCCCCACCTCCGAGCCGACCTCATAAATGCAAGATTAATTGCGAGAATATTTAATTTCGGCCTAGCCAAGGTCCCGGCTTGGCCAAGGACTCTCGGCTTTGGTCCTTTACCTCGGGCTAAGTGCACACCTTTATCCTCTACAAAGGGAATTGACAATTTCATTTTCAACGCTCGGCCGCCTCTTGACTCTCCAAGTGCGCTTCCCAGGCACAGTTGACGTCTTCGATTTGACGTTTCCTGACGAGGACGTCTCGCGAAATATGGGGGAAAAAATGGGGAGCCTTCCGTCGCCGCTTCGGGAATAATTTCGGCCCGGCGATAAATCCGTTTCGCGAGCCAGAGATATTTCCCATTCCGGAAAGTGTCGCCCGATCCCTCCTCGACAGAAAAAGGGAGCGCCGAATGGGACCCTATAAAGTCATTGGCCGTTATGGCTAACCCCGGTTGAGCGCAGGAAATGTATGTTATATTATGTATATTATATGCTATGTCGAGTATCCCGCGATTTACCGTTCGCAGGCACAGCCGGAGAGCCGGCAGGAAATGAAATACAGAACTCCGATCCCCTTCGACTCGCATCCCTAAGATGAAATCATAAATCCCCACGCACCGATGCTCGCGGCATCGGCCCGAAACCCCATTCACCTTTCTTTTTCCCTCCTTGCCGATAATCCCCCATTCCGACCATCCGTTTACCGGAAAAGAAAGAAAGAAAAATATTCCTCGATATTAATAATTTTTTTTTCTCCATTATGCAACTAATATCCCGGAGTATGAGACCGTATCACCGGCTCGGAGATACGAACGAGTCCGCGATGGTCGTAAAAAAGGAATTTTCAAAATGACTAATCCGGAAGGGCAGGTTTATTCGAATATGTTCCTGGATTTTATTCCGAGGAAAGAAAATGGGACTCGGTTATAAGGACAAAGGAGCTCCTCCCCCATTCACATGTCCCCACGTCGCGAACATGCAAATGAACAGACACGAGCCGCCATTTGCCTTTCTACGGCGAGGGCTCCCCGTTATTCCGAGATTAGTGGGGAAATAAATGTGTCTACGTTGAGGTAATCTCCTTACGGTCAAGCGAGGTATCAGGGTCGTTGTTTCGCCTCTTCCGGAGTCATTTCGAATTTTTGCGATCACCCCCTGGTGTCATCCACCCGGCAGGTCGTTCCAAGAAGTCGGGTAAAGTTTCGGAAGAGGAGAAACTTTGGAGGAAAAAAAGGAAAAAAAAGGTGGAGGTAACGTATCGGGGAAGAAAATTGGACGGCGACGCGATCGATCAGCTTCCGACAATTTTCTCCCGATTTTGGCAGCGAGGGTGGTCAGGGCTGCAGCGCTGCCAAGGGCGACAGGGTGGACGAGGGCGGAATACATTATTACCAGGCACTCCTTCGGGGTGGTGGGAAAATAAATGCGCGATACCCGCTCGCCCAGGGAATATATTCCCCTAATCTCAAGGAAATCGATCGGGGTCCGTAAGTATCCGGCTATTCGGCCCGCGGATCGTCGTCACCCCCTAGGAAGGTGCACCCCCGTCGCGAGGGGTGCTCCTCCCTCGGGAGACCACGGTAACCCTGGTAACCGGTGCATCTTAGGAATAGGATGCGCCAAGAGCTCCTCTTCCGGTCAGGCGGGAAGGGTGGGAAAAGCTTCGCCCCGAAGTTTCGCGCCGAGGCCCCTGCAGGGGTGGCGACCACCCCCAGAATCCGCAGACCCCAATAAGGTCCCGACTGTTTGTTCCGAGGGTCGTAATTTAAAGGGCAGCCTTAAAGAAGAGCGCGATCTTAAGGCCCACCCCTATGCCGAGGGATGCCTCTTTGAGGGCGGCCTTTGCTCCGGGGATCATTCGGGATCAATGGGCAAGGGATCGCTCGTAAATTGTAGCGCCGAGCCGGGCAGGATCCCCTGGGAAAAATAGGAGGCGCGGGGGCGAAAATTGCAATTCCTCGACGCGGCCGAAACGCGCAACGCAAGGACTCCTCGAAATACCCCACTCTGCGTTAATTTTCCATGGACGATCGCTCTTACCCCGCACCCTGTGAGAATTTCAGAGAGCCCCGATAAAGAACTCGCCCCACGTAGCGTAATCTCAAACACGTTGAATTTTCCACCGTGGGGTACTCCGTTTAATCGCGGTCATTTCATCCCCTCCACCAGGTGGAATCACCTGATCGCCTCGACCGCGCGTGACGTGCATGACGATTTCATGGCACCCTAAAGTCTTGTCGAGGGCGCTTCGTTACTCAAAGCCGGAGGGGCGGCTCGTTTACGCGCCGCCATATTGCCGGACGAAGGAAAGGGGTCCTCCAGGCGGTCGGATTGCGATATGTCGCGGAAACGGGCAGAGTTCGGGTAGGTGCTCCAGAAGGGAGGGATCTCCCCTTATTCCGAGGACCCCGCGAAATTCCGGCCTTGCGGTCGTTTCGACTTGCAAGCATCGCGGAACTTGCCATAACCGTCGAAACTCGGGTAGCCCTCTCCGAGGACGCGTTCCGTACTTGGCGCGCACCTCGACGTGAACTTCGACCCCTGACGCGGGATCGTAAGCACGTACGAGCGTTACGTTCAAGAATAATTGGCGCAAAGAGAGGAAGGATTTCCCGGTCCGGCGTACCAGGGCCGTAAAACGGGGAAAACTTCCGAGTTCGAGTTATTTCCGCCCCTCGCCCAGACTTCCCTCCGCCGGCGCGATCGAAAACTCGCAGAAAATGCAAACTCCCCGTAAACCTAATAGTTTCCCGGAGTCCGTAACAAGTTCGAGGCATTTGCCAATTTCCAAGGAGGTGGAATTTTCGAGGCCGCCGCTCGATGGATTAACAACCGCCCCCTGGAGACGAGGTGGAGGGGTGGAGGTTCGGTTCTTTGGGTAAATTTTCCGACGGGGCAGGAATTTGATCTAGGGCGGGGGTGGGCACAGCGGGGCACCATCTGGCCCGGAAGAAGGGTCGCCCCGGAGGGTGCGCCCTTCGGAAAGAAATGGAACTCGAAGGGGCAGATGAAATGGGCTAGCCGGAATTAGATCTTCGAGGAGATCGGCAGACCCTGAAGAAAGAACATCTGTGCGGGGGTGTTTCCGGAGCAAATGGCTCCCGGGATCGGAAGAGCCCGCTGCGAGATGGGAGCCTCGTTATCGGCCCCGAAGATCGCAGGTGCGATCCTCGAACCTCGGGGTCCTTGGGGTCCTATCAGGATTCAATAGGTAAGAGCCGTCTCGTAAAAGAGGAGACTCTTCCGGCCCGAAGACCGACCCCGACGATTTCGGGAAGGATTTCAAGAGTAAGTGCATCTAACTAAGTGCAGGGGAGGACCTCGAGGACCCGGAGACCCGGCAAGGACCTCCTGGATGATTTCGGATTTTCGAGGAAGTTCTGGGGGTGAATTATGCAGATTCGGAAACACCGAGAGCCCGAGGGACGTCGGGGCTGGAGGGATGCCGAGGAGGACGAGGATCGATGCAGCGATTAGGATCTCGCGTTTCCTTTTTTTCTCGCCCCCTCGAGGGATCCCGGCTCCGAGTCGTGAGCTCGCTTTAAAGAGACCGAGAAATCCAGGAGTGCCGCCCGAGCGAGGTCGTAATAAGAAGTGAAACGGCCGGGTATAATGATGTTCGTTGGCCCGTTAGGAGGAACAATGAGAACTTAACGGCGGACATCGTTACACCCGCTACGCGAACTCATTTCGCGCGACCCGATCGAAATCGCGGAAAATCACGCGAACGAGATCCGAAGAAGACACTCGGAAAAAAATTCCGTTGCGCATTAACGGATTAGACGGGGAAAAATGGGAGAGGAGATCCGAGAAGACGCGAAACGCGAAGGTGAAACCTCCGTTTCCTCTCGCGCTCCAAGAATTCCGCGTCTTTTTGAGAAATTGCCCAGTCTTGTCGTAAATTATAATAACGAGGAGTCGGCGGAAAAGACACCGTCCTCGCTCTTAACTCGCACTTCGCGCTGATTATTTCGACCCGTGACCGGAAAACGTAGTCCATTGTTCCAAGGGAACTCGTTACGAGGGTGGCGGACGGCCGGAAGGGAAAAACGGAGCGAAGGGATCGAAGCGAGGGGTAGAATTTCGTCCTTTCCGCGTTTCTCCGGCGACGGAGCGGCGACAAAGGGGGAATTTCGTCTTTCCCGGTACCCGGGACCCATTTCGGGGCTTTCGCGGGTCTGGGGAGAGGGGGCGACCGACCCAGGGGACTCGATGGAATACGAGAACCGATAGAGGGAGGAGGTTCGAGAGCGGGAGGGTTAGGGAGGCGAGAGATCTCTCGAAATTAATTGAATTCCGCGGCTTCGGGCTGCGAGCATCCAGGCCACCTAGATCGCCGGAGTTTCACGGCTCGGGGTCGCGATAGGGCGAGGAATAGAAAAGGAAACAGGGGGAAGGAGGAGGACCTCGTCGAAGAAGCGGATTAAAAGTTCGCCGAGCACCCCTCGGGACGCGAGGAACGTCTCCTAGGGGTGGTTTCGCCCTCGCGGCGGGTACGGAGCAACGCCCCCTTGGTGCGACGAACCGACGTCTAGGGATGCCGCTCTGCATCTATTTTCGGGAATATTTTGCGTCGGGGGTTGCACGGAAACGACGATAGACGAGTTCGCCGCGTGATTCGGCAACGAACGCTGTTCGAAACGGCAACAAAGTCCGGTGTAGGATTTTCCTCGGTGCCGAATTTTCCGGCCATTTCTCCTGGGCTGTATCGCAATTACGGCTTAACGAGAATCGTGGCAATTAGGGAGCGAGAGAAAGGGGCGAGGGGGAAAGAAACGTAACGCAGACGTCATAATAAACTTACCGAGCACCGAAATGGCGAGGGGGTTCGACATCAGGGGCCGCTGCTGCTCTGGAACAGAAAGCAAAGTTTTTATTAGATTCCGGCGGAAAGTGCTTTGATACCCCGAGAGTTCTTAAGGCTGGCAAAGGGAAATCCGCGCGGAACCCACGAAAAGAATCCCCGACTTCCGCTCTTCCGTCCCCTCTTCTTCCGGCCACGAGAACGTATCGTTTTGTGTACGACCGTTCCGCGGAAATACATACGTCCAAGTGAGGGCATTCCTTTTCCTGAATTCGCGGAGAAACGGGATTCCTCGCTTTGGTAAATTTTCCTGCTGCCCCTCCAGCCACTTTGTACCGCAACTCGGACTCGCACGATCGAGACGATTTTCCTCCTACGCCGCTGGTTCCTCTCTCGATTTACAGGAAATAAATCGTCCACCGTGTTCTTCGTTTTTCAAGCATTTCGCAACGGGCGCGCTTGGAATTCCTCAAATCGGCCCTAAATATAACGCGGCCCCCAGGAATGTGCAAAGAACACAGGCCGGCAGATTTTCTGGAAAATGGCGGGCATATCCCGGATAATTCGCGTGCCTTGCGAGCCTTTTTCAGGCATCATAAAGCCCGGATCCGCATCCGTCCTCTTTACACCGCGGACCAGCGAGCGAGGATTTCGCGAAGCTTTCAAAGCAGCTCGTGTCTCATAAGCGAGACCTAACAGCGGTACACGCGGGATAATCTTGTAATCCCGTCGAAGTGGCGTGTCGCCGTGTGGCATTATTGGAAATTGGAGAACGGGGGACGTCGACGCGTGAAAATGGATCCGATATCGACCGGAGGGAGCGCGTAGGTTATGGCCAGGAGGTGTAAAAATTCTTCCCATATTTCACCCCTGGCTCGAATCTTATAAAATTGTCCACCCCACGGGTCACGTTATCAATGATAAAATCCACGTATCCTGAAACTATTACCCGCAACGGCGTAAAAAAAAAAAAAAAATTCACGTGCACGAAATTTCGATGTTTTCAAAGATCAAGGAAGTCGAGAGTAGCAGGAGAGTCACTAGGAACAGGGCAAGGTAGATAAAGGACTCGACCCAGAAGTCGCGTTCATCTAACGGGGAGTTAGGTCCTGTGCTGGAAAACCGGAAGTCGAGTCCGCGATTTATTCCCGTCGCGAAGTAGACGAGCACACAACGGCGGTCGTGGGAGTTATCGATGGGCCTGGCCGTTATCGAGTCCGGACCGAATGCGTCGTGTTCGCGCGAACGCATAATAAGCCGAGGGGTAATTGAAAATCGATAGGAGGGTCTCGAGTCCCGTAGGATCGAATCGAACGTCTCGTCCTGCTAGCGAGGACTTAAACGGCCCAGGGAATACCTAGAATTAACGAGGGATTCTCGAAGAATAGCTCGGAGGTCTATTTTCCACGACACCGGTGGATGTGATTTCCACCTCTGCGGAATCACTCGCGATTAATATCGCGTCCCGTCTGGCTACATCGCGGAATTTCCGAACGGTCCGCCGTCGGTAGAGGAAGAACAGGGATTATTAGCAAACGGAAGGAGAGAGTAGAAACGTACCGCTAATCCGAGAAAATGGGATTTCGGGGGCCTCCACCCCGGCGGTAGTCAAAATTAGCTAAAACCGGGGGTAGGTTCCTCCGTCGGGCCACAAACCCACCCTGGAGGGTGCGCCGCGCCCAAGTTACGGAGTTTGCGGAACGTGCGGTGTACAATGGCCGTTAAGAGGTTGTTTAAATTAGTTTTAACATCGCGACCGCGCGCCTGCCGGCGAGCTCGGAAAATTGGCGAAGACACCGAGGAGGAAACGAGGATATACGGCTAATGGCGACTCTTCCCACCTCCCGGGGCGCCTACGTGCGAGGAAAGGGATGGGGTTCGCGAAACATCTTAGGCAAAATGTCCGCCGAGCCGAGAACTACCGGCAACGGTAGTCGCGGCCTGCCAAGGAAGGGCAAACTACCCCACGTGGTGGCTCGACTTGGACTAATTACTTCGGAATTTACCGCCGAATTATTTTCCTCGGGAATACGACCGACGAGAATTTCTTCCGGAGAGGGGTCGAAGTCGGGAGGGAAAAGTCACCCCTGGAAAGTCGGCGCTCGCGGGGAGCGCGAAAGATCCTCGACGAGCTCGTAAATAGGGCTGATAAAGCGCGCAAAGAGAGGTAAATCGGATTTAACGTTAAATATGAAACGCCCCGCGCATCCGGATGTCCAGGCTTAAGGCCGGCGGGTTTTCGGCAAAGGTAGTCCAGGTAATACGATTACGGGACTTCCGGAATGTGTGGGTGGATGCACGCAAGACCGAAGAGAGGTCAGGGTACCGCCTGGCTGATTGCTCGGCGGTATGCAAAACGGATCCCGCTTAAGCTAACCGTGATTCTGGCCAGGAGCACCGCCGAGTAACGAAACTAACCTACCGACTAATCGCACCACCCTCGATAAACAAACTTCGCTTAATCCGCCGCCCAGAAGTACGTACGCGCGTACTCGTTACGTCCAATCGAACCCCCGCGAAATTCCCGGGTTCCGACAAATCCCGGACGTCACTCGCGACGTCGAGTATCGACTAATAGCGGCCTTAATTGCGCCCTTGCCCCCGCGGCTTTTCCGCCCCTCGCCTCTCGATGCAATTATGCAAAAGGTACGCCCTCTCGACGACGCCGACTCGCGGATGCATTTTTAGCGGAAGTCGCGCCTCGCTCGGCCCATGATCCATGACCGACAGATGGATGCATCGGGATGCAAATCTAGGTGAAAGGAAAGGTGCGCCGTTCTCCTCGCGGTGCCTGACCAGCGCAATCAGGCATCCCTTTTTTATCGTTCTCTTTTCCTCCCGGGAGTAATACGACGCACGCGCTCTTATTTGCCCGTAAAAATGTCAACGCGACGGGGGACAAAAAATGCCTGGAATTCTGGGCCGATACGTCGATACGGGATGCCGCGGTGCATTTAAAGGTGCACTGCTCCTCGTGCACCTCGTGCAGCGGGAGCTTCGTGAATTTGTTAACAATGATCGATACGTTACATTCCCTCTCTCGGCTCTTCGGCGTGGGAGCGGTCGAGGCGCAACACTCGTTACGACGTACTCGTGACAAAGAGTGGTACTTAGAATTAGTGCGGCTTCCGCTGGGTCAAGTTCAGCGTTCCGTATCAAACGGATTTCAGGCTTGGCCGGTTACTCGACCGACGGTCAACACGGAGTGGACACGAGGAAGTTCAACGTGGAAGGTCGTGCGTCGACATTCCCCGCAATGCGTCTATTTCGGTACTTTCGTTCCAGCTGGGAAAAATAAGCAAAACGATCCCCTCGATGCGACCTGCACCTTACGAGGTGCACTTTCTACGAGGGTCTGACCCCGATAGAAATCGGGCTCCACGAGCACCCGGAATGCCCGCCAACTACGTGGCTTATCCCGGAGGAATCTCGCGGAATTGCCCGTTAATTAGTCCCTGAGATGCATGCGACGAACCCACGTCGAACCCTAACCTCGTCCCGCTCGACCCAGCTCTCGCGAGGCCTCGATTGCTCCCAATCGACCCGATCCACCGCGCCGTATCGTTCGAGCGAACTGGACCGGCAAAATCGGAATCGATAACGCGAGATTCCACATCCGAGGATGCTAGAACCAGAAGAATCATCCACGTAGCCCCGAACTCCGGTGAACCAATTCTCGATGCGATTTGTCCCACTTCTGGAGGAGTTTCGTTATTCTTCATCGAGTCGATTCGGAGGTGGTTCAAGAATCCAGATGAGGTCCGCGACCCTCGAGGCCTTCCTCTCGTTCCCAAGATCTCCTGGCCGCCTACGTCACCGAAGTTGCCGCCATGTCGGGATTTTCTGCCGTTGAACTTGCGCTATTTGCGTTCGCCGCCTACCCTTTCCCCGGTCCCGTTTAATCCTGGTCCAGCTCGCCCCATTTCGCGTCGCTGTTTGGATTGGCCGCGACGCCGGGAACGGCTCAATGGCGAGAGCGCGTAAATTCGGGGCCGATTTATCGTTCCTGGGAGCCCGGCATGCGCCGGCCAAAATCCATTGTCTCGCCGAGACGGATCAGCGGTTCGACGTCGCGCCTCGGAGTTTAAACCCTCGACCTGGACCTCGAAACCAGGGATCGGGCCATTTCGCGTTCGACGTCGGCCAGATCCATTCAGGGCCTCTCGGGGGGAATTTAACGTCGCGAGATCTATGGACCGCCACCGGTGACACCCTCTCCCTGCGCCTTAACGAGGCCATCGAGGGATGCCTTCTGCACCTGCTTTGGCAGTCAAATCCGCGGGCCCGCTCGAGAAAATTACCGTGGAAAAGTGTCTGGCGTGGGAATTCCGCAAAAGCCCCATTTTCCCGGGGCAGCCACGTTCGGTAAATACGAGGCGAGGGGCGGATTTTCTGGAAATTTTCGCGAGACGTCAGGGGTAATTTCCCGGATGACGTAGGTCTCTCCTAACCGGCGACATTTTCACCTGGGTCACGTCGCCTTTGGCCGGGGCTTTCGGCGGCTTTTCCTTCCTCGGGAAACGCGAGATATCGACTTTCCGTTGGAGCCGCAGTTTTCCACGGCACGAGCGGGTAAACCGACGTAATTTCGTGACCCCACCGATTGCCCGGTCGATTTCTCCGTCCCCCTTGGTCGGTGCTCTCGTCTCTCTCGCTCTCTCAGTGAATTTCTCGGTTCCGCGGTAATGTCGCGATTTTTCTGTCCGGGCCGCAGGAGGGAACGGAAAGTCCTTAGTCGAGGGCACGTCCGTTGTCCCCACGTCCGCGAAGGTGCTCCCCCGGGACGTCCTTCGGGTTGGATCCTCGGGTCGCGAGGAAATCGAGTTCCTCTTCTGTTTGCCCCTCCCCGGGCGACCCTGGGCATTGGTAACTACGGAAATTGATTTATCGCCCTTCTCCGAAGTTCTTCGTGGCGATTTGTCGGCCGAGCCTCCTTCGCCGTCGACGGGTCGTTCGGAAAAAAATGTCCACGATTTTTCCCGGCAGGAGGCGACGCGGGGTCAGCGATTCTTGGTCCCGGAAAAATCCCCGGAAAATACAGGGAGCAT